GTTTTTAAATTCACTTCTGGCTATGGTCTCTATCTCTAGTCTCTGTCTAGTCTTTTGCTCTGGTCTCTCTCTCGTCTCTCTCTGGTCTTTCGCTCTGGTCTGAATCTAGTCTCCATCTGGTCTCTCGCTCTAGTCTCTCGCTCTGGTCTCTCTCTAGTCTCTCTCTGGTCTCTCGCTCTGGTCTGTCTCTAGTCTCCATCTGGTCTCTCGCTCTAGTCTCTCTCTGGTCTATCTCGTCTCTCCCAGGTCTCTCTCTCTCTGGTCTCTCTCTCTGGTCTCTCTCTAGTCTCTCTCTGGTCTATCTCTCTAGTCCAGACGTGTGAAAATACGGCCCCGTTGCTCATTTTTCATCAAATGTCCAGCGCTGCATTCGTGTGACTTAATTGCTCACTTTCATGATAAACAAAGAAAGGTAGATGCGGAATAGATCATTTTCAACACCAATTACAAGTCAGTGGTGAAGCTGTGTTTAGTTTGCGGGAGCAGACCATGTTTAAAGAAGCTATACCCATTTTTTCTAATGAGTTCATAAAAATGACAAGTTGTATAATAATCTGTAATTGAATGTAAAACTTGAGCTCATTGATTCAGCTGTGTATGAACTCAGGCCGTAAAAAGTGCTGAGTAGAGACTTAGCGTGACGCCCGCTCTCCTCCAATCACAGAACGAGGCTGCGTCCTCTAGCCTCTACAGCGCTGCTAAACACAGTAGCATGTTAGCATAAGTGGCTATAACTCCTCTGGCTGTAACTGCAGACACAGCAAAACAGCCCAAACCACACAACAGTGAGGAAGAGAAGAGGAACTAAAGCCAAAACATGATCAAAGAAGAAACCAAGCCCTGAACAGAGCTAGCTTACATCGTATCCTCTGGAGAGACTGGTCTGTGGGAGAGACCTGCGGGACCGCCTCGGACTATCTACGCTCGGACTATCTGCGCTCGGACTATGTGCGCTCGGACTATGTGCGCTCGGACTATCTACGCTCGGACTATCTACGCTCGGACTATCTACGCTCGGACTATCTACGCTCGGACTATCTACGCTCGGACTATCTACGCTCGGACTATCTACGCTCGGACTGTCTACGCTCGGACTATCTACGCTCGGACTATGTGCGCTCGGACTATGTGCGCTCGGACTATGTGCGCTCGGACTATCTACGCTCGGACTATCTACGCTCGGACTATCTACGCTCGGACTATCTACGCTCGGACTATCTGCGCTCGGACTATGTGCGCTCGGACTATGTGCGCTCGGACTATCTACGCTCGGACTATCTACGCTCGGACTATCTACGCTCGGACTATCTACGCTCGGACTATCTACGCTCGGACTATCTACTCTCGGACTATCTACGCTCGGACTATCTACTCTCGGACTGTCTACGCTCGGACTACATTCGGACATGAAACTAGCAGTAATCTTGATTGTTGTACAGCTTAAGTTGCGCCCATGCTAATGTTAGCATATAGATCACAAATAAAACTAGATGGCTCCGTGGGATGAGAGCGTAGGGGAAATGAGAAGCCTGTGAGCGAGTTGGGGGCGGGGCTAAACATTCAAACATTGCAGAAACGGGTAAAGCTCCTTTAAAGAGAACCATGTGGGTCAGCACCAGATGAAGCAGAGAAATACAGAATGCTCAATGATGGAGAAATGGAGCGGACATTAAGCGCAGTAGCGACGCCGCAAAAGTAACAAGACTTTCACCAAGTATTCACATCCAGGGATGGAGCAAGCTAGACCTGCTTTGTGATGTCACACACTATCACTGAAAACATTCGCAGCGGGAGAGATTTTACGTTCAGTGATTTTTGGTGACAATGAAATATGAATGGTTGTTTGGACACAAAGACACTATTGTAGTTTCCTTTTGGCACATTCACTGCTCACTGATAAAAGCCAATGAGTCACATATGTAACAAAAGAGAAGAGTCCATTACCCTCTCTCTGGTCTCCCTCTCTCTGGTCTCCCTCTCTCTGGTCTCCCTCTCTCTGGTCTCCCTCTCTCTGGTCTCCCTCTCTCTGGTCTCCCTCTCTCTGGTCTCCCTCTCTCTGGTTTCAAAACTCAAAAACAGACTCCTACCATTTAAACTCAACGCAAATGGCATCAAAATAACTAAATCAACACACGTTTAAAGCAACTGTAATCATTTCTCAAAACAATGGCGTCCTTCCCCTGGATCGCCGTTATAAGTGGAGAGCGGAGGAAAAAGGCCGGAGTCACGGACCTGCTCCTCGTTCCTGCCGTGTTTACAAAGCCTCGCGCAACAACAGCAAAGTGGAGGCTGAATAAAAATGACAAGGGGGATTATGGGAAACATATGGTCACTCTGAGGCGCTGGGCTGAGAGGGGGAGAGAGAGGCGGAGAGAGAGGCTGAGAGAGAGAGAGAGACAGAAGAAAGAGAGAGAGAGGGAGAGAAAGACAGAGAGAGAAAGAGAGACAAAGAGACAGAGAGAGACAGAGAGAGAGAGAAGAAAGAGCGGGAGAGGGGGAGATAAAGACAGAGCGGGAGAGAAAGACAGAGAGAGACAAAGAGAGGTGAGAGCGCGAGAGAGAGAGACAGAGGGACAGAGAGAGAGACAAAGAGACAGAGAGAGATACAGAGAGAAGAAGAAAGAGAGCAAGAGAGGGGGAGAGAGAGAGAGGCTGAGAGAGAGAGGGGGAGAGAGAGAAGAAAGAGCGGGAGAGGGGGAGAGAGAGACAAAGAGAGGTGAGAGCGAGAGAGAGAGAGACAGAGGGACAGAGAGAGACAGAAAGAGAGAGACAAAGAGCCAGAGAGAAGAGAAGAAAGAGCAAGAGGGGGAGAGAGAGGGAGAAGAAAGAGAGAGCGAGAGAGGAGGAGAGAAAGACAGAGAGACAGGCATACATACAGACAGAGAGAGAGACTTAGAGAAAGAGAGACAGACAGAGAGAGAGACAGAACGAGAGACAAAGATACAGAGATAGAGACAGAGAGAGAGACAGAGAGGGGGGAGAGAAAGACAGAGATACAGTAGAGACAGACAGACCTACACAGACAGAGAGAGACAAAGATAGAGACAGAGAGAGAGAGAGAGAGAGAGAGTGACAGAGAGAGACAGAGAGAGCGGTGCCTGTGATGCTGAGACAATAGTAAAACACCGTCTGCTCAGGTTTGTCCACAGCTGATTCTAATATAAAATCCTGAGAGAGATATTTGGGGCTGAAGCCAGGAAAGTGGGGACCAAAAATGTGAAATATACAAGGATTTATGGACCTGTTCTGCAAAAGAGACATTCTCTTTGGAATCTGAAGAATGTGCCTTGACTATTATTTCTTATATATAGCAAATATTTTCCTTCTGTACAGTCGCTCTGAAGTTTGGGGACAGGTGATATTCTCCAGCGTTTAACTGTTGCACTTGTTTGTATCCAGTTTGAAGAAACCCATGGATGCTTTAAAATATATTTTTAAAAAGTTTTTTTTTAACACAAAACACAAAAAACATCACATTATTATTATTATTAAAAGTACAGAATATAAAACATAAAAGTACAAAGAATAAGCCAGTTTAAAAAGGTAGGTTTTTGAGTCTAACTGTCGCAGGTGAATAAATGTTTTATTTAGTTTTTTCTGACCAAACAGATCATCAAAATCTGGAGATTCTTCCAAAACCGAGGGGCATTGGACCCAGCCCTGATCCTGATTGGCTCTTTGGTTGCTAGGTCGTCGTTATCCACTCCTTGTAATTATTAGATTTTTATTATGAGTGTTAAAAGGAGTCGCTCTCTGCCTCTCTGTTTGTATCAAAGTAGCTCTCTGTAGAACAGGGGTCTCCAACCTTTTTCTATCAGTCTCTGGGGCGGAGAGAGAAGACTGCCTGCGCAACAACGGCACCGGGTAAAGTGGAAGAAATGGGAAAAAATAAATTGCTGACTCGGATAGTATAAGATTGAAGACACATAAGACTAGAGAGAGACCAGAAAGAGACTAGAGAGAGAGACCAGAGAGAGAGACCAGGGAGAGAGACCAGAGAGAGAGACCAGAGAGAGACCAGAGAGAGTGAAACGAGAGACGAGAGAGACAGAGACCAGAGAGAGAGACTAGAGAGAGAGACCAGAGAGAGAGACCAGGGAGAGAGACCAGAGAGAGAGACCAGAGAGAGACTAGAGAGAGTGAAACGAGAGACGAGAGAGACAGAGACCAGAGAGAGAGACTAGAGAGAGAGACCAGAGAGAGACTAGAGAGAGACCAGAGAGAGACTAGAGAGAGAGACCAGAGAGAGAGACCAGAGAGACTAGAGAGAGAGACCAGAGAGAGACAGGAGAGAGAGAAACTAGAGAGACTAGAGAGAGACCAGAGAGAGTGAGACTCTCTAGAGTGAGACTAGAGAGTGACCAGAGAGAGACCAGAGCCACCGTGGGCGGCACGGTGGCTGAGTGGATAGCACTCTCGCCTCTCAGCAAGAAGGTCCTGGGTTCGAATCCCGGTTGGACCAGGGCCTTTCTGAGTGGAGTTTGCATGTTCTCCCCGTGTCTGCGTAGGTTTCCTCCGGGTCCTCCGGTTTCCCCTACCACTAAAAATATGTACAATAGGTCTGGCATGTGCCTCCTGTACTGGCACCCCCAACCCCAAAAATAACAATTGTAAACCGCTTTGAGACTCCGATGTGCAGTGAAAAGGCGGTATATAAATAAAGATTACTTACTAATAAAGATTACTTACCAGAGAGAGACTAGAGACCAGAAAAAGTGAGACTAGAGAGTGACCAGAGAGACCAGAGAGAGAGAGACCAGAGAGAGAAACCAAAGATACACCAAAGAGAGAGTACTGCAGTGCACACAAGCCACAAATGTTTTCTTTCACACACTTTTTATGCACTTTTCTAACCAGCTGAACTCACGCCTGATGAAAAACAATTGCAGAAATATCAAAGCTGTTTGTATATAATTTATTTGATCGTGGGACAAGACTAGTACAGGAGCGAGGCAGGTTTATCTGTATAGCACAGTTCAGCAGCGGGTGGATGTACTCACAGGGGGCGTAGAACATGATGAGAGCGGCCGGGTGCTCCTGCAGGAAACTGTCGAAGGAGTCGTCTGTGAGGTGGAACACGGGGGAGTCCGACTCAGACCAGGGAACCTCCGGGGCTTTGGGCTGCGGGGCCTGGGGGCTGAGAGAGGGGGGGGGGGGGGGGGGTTACGACCGGAGTATGCACAGTTACTTAGAAGTCCCATCACAATATCACACAGCTACGTCACGTTCACACTTCTGGTCTGATCCACACTTCTGGTCTGGTCCACACTTCTGGTCTGGTCCACACTTCTGGTCTGGTCCACACTTCTGGTCTAGTTCACACTTCTGGTCTGGTCCACACTTCTGGTCTGGTCCACACTTCTGGTCTGGTCCACACTTCTGGTCTGGTCCACACTTCTGGTCTGGTCCACACTTCTGGTCTGGTTCACACTTCTGGTCTGGTCCACACTTCTGGTCTGGTCCACACTTCTGGTCTGGTCCACACTTCTGGTCTGGTTCACACTTCTGGTCTGGTCCACACTTCTGGTCTGGTCCACACTTCTGGTCTGGTCCACACTTCTGGTCTAGTTCACACTTCTGGTCTGGTTCACACTTCTGGTCTGGTCCACTTCGGAACAAGAAAATACCCAATACTGAACCATCTGACGTAGTGGTAATAAAAAAAAAATCGATGTTGTTTGCAATTAGAAGAGAGAGAACCACACTCACTCAGCCAATCAGCTCTCACCCCAAAGTGTCCAACAGTGACTCACAGGGGTCTTTCTCAAAAGTATTTCAAAGATTAATATTCTATTAAGATGGAGCCAGATTGTTGTGGTCCGAGTTGCTCACAAGACTTTACTTTTACAAGACGCTCCGGTCTCTCTCTGATCTCTCGCTCTCCGGCCCCTCACTCTTTTCAGTCCCTCTCTCTCTACGCTCTCTCTGGTCTCTCTCTTGTGTCTCCCTCTCTCTGGCCTCTCTCTCTGGCCTCTCTCTCTGGTCTCTCTCTCTGGTCTCTCTCTCTGGTCTCTCTCTCTGGTCTCTCTCTCTGGTCTCTCTCTCTGGTCTCTCTCTCTGGTCTCTCTCTCTGGTCTCTCTCTCTGGTCTCTCTCTCTGGTCTCTCTCTCTGGTCTCTCTCTGGTCTCTCTCTCTGGTCTCTCTCTCTGGCCTCTCTCTCTGGCCTCTCTGGCCTCTCTGGCCTCTCTCTGGCCTCTCTCTGGCCTCTCTCTGGCCTCTCTCTGGCCTCTCTCTGGCCTCTCTCTCTCTGGCCTCTCTCTCTCTGGCCTCTCTCTCTCTGGTCTCTCTCTCTCTGGTCTCTCTCTCTCTGGTCTCTCTCTCTCTCTCTGGTCTCTCTCTGGTTCTTTGACCTGCTCTTAAACTGTAAAAGTGAGACAAACGTGCACGCAAACCAGTTGTATGAACTTTCTCGTAATGGGAATGTTGTCGATATTGCGCTGAAGATGTAGAGATATTGCACAGGTCTGAAAAGCACATTTAACTTTTCACAGTGCGTTATGAGGGAGTATCACCCACACGGAGAGATTAAGGAGAAACAGCTGGACCTCCTCCACCCAGAGACACACATCTGCTCTGCACCGCGCCTCGATGACCGCATGCACCAGGAGACGTAAACAAGAACACTACCAGAACGCACCAAAACTCTGCCCTGGTGACCTCACAGCTAGTCCTTCGTGACCTCACAGCTGGTCCTGAGTGAAGTACAGTACAGGAGGTTATAGACCCTGGTTTCTAAGTCAAATTCACAAAGTAGCAGCTGTATGTTTTAAGGCTGTACAAAACCTCAGACACTTTTTATACACTTTTCTAACCACATGAACTCACGACTGAGGTGAGAGACCAGAGAGAGACACAAAAAGAGAGAGACCAGAAAGAGAGACCAGGGAGAGACCAGAGAAAGAGACCAGAGATAGAGAACAGAGAGTGGGAGCAGAGAGAGGGACCAGATAGACCAGAGAGAGAGATTAGAGAGAGAGACCAGAGAGAGACACCAGATAGACCAGAGAGAGAAACTTGAGAGAAAGCCCAGAGAGAGAGAGAGACCAGAGAACGACACCCAAGAGAGAGAGACTGGAGAGACCAGATAGACCAGAGAGAGACTAGAGAGAAATCCCAGAGAGAGAGAGAGACCAGAGAAAGACACCAGAGAGAGAATCTAGAGACGGACCAGATGGAGTGAGACTAGAGAAACCAGAGAGAGAGAGAGAGAGAGAACCTTTTGAACTTATCAATACAGTGCACAAAAGCCACAAAACTTTTCTGTTACAACCTTTTTATTCACTTTTCTGACCAGCTTCTGAGTTTGGGACATGAAGACCGGACTTAAAAGTGGTCAAACTATCCACCCCAAACATCAGCGATAAGTGACCAATTTTATAGACTACAAACACCATTTAACTATTAATGAAGCAAGATCTCTTTAAGCTTTGAAGAAAAGAAAAAAACGTTGGGGACCCTCTTTGTTCTGGGAATCATTTGTAAAAACACTTCCAACACTGGACCAAAGCACAACTCTATCCCGTTCTCTGGAACCAATCGACTTTCCCCAGCGAGTGTTTTGAATCAGAGCTGATGTGTGCGCTGTGTCCAAGACGGATGTGAGAAATGTGAGTCAGAGTCAGAGAGAGAGAGCAGAGAGAGAGCAGAGAGGGACCAGAGAGAGACCAGAGAGAGCAGAGAGAGAGCAGAGACAGACCAGAGAGAGAGCAGAGAGAGACCAGAGAGAGAGCAGAGAGGGACCAGAGAGAGACCAGAGAGAGCAGAGAGAGAGCAGAGACAGACCAGAGAGAGAGCAGAGAGAGACCAGAGAGAGAGCAGAGAGAGACCAGAGAGAGAGCAGAGAGAGACCAGAAAGAGACCAGAGAGAGAGCAGAGAGAGCAGAGAGAGCAGAGAGGGACCAGAGAGAGACCAGAGAGGGAGCAGAGAGAGAGCAGAGACAGACGAGAGAGCAGAGAGAGAGCAGAGAGAGAGAGCAGAGAGAGACCAGAGAGAGACCAGAGAGGGACCAGAGAGAGAGCAGAGAGAGCAGAGAGAGAGCAGAGACAGACCAGAGAGAGAGCAGAGAGAGCAGAGAGAGACCAGAGAGAGAGCAGAGAGAGACCAGAAAGAGACCAGAGAGAGACCAGAGAGACCAGAGAGGGACCAGAGAGAGAGCAGAGAGACCAGAGAGAGCAGAGCGAGACCAGAGAGAGACCAGAGCAGACCAGAGCGAGACCAGAGCGAGACCAGAGCGAGACCAGAGCGAGACCAGAGCGAGACCAGAGCGAGACCAGAGATTGACCGGAGAGAGTCCAGAGAGAGTCCATCGGGGGCTCCAGACTTGTCAATGTTTTATCCCTCGCTGAGAAACGCCCCAAGGAGACGACACCTTCAGTTCTTGTAAGACATCGGTGTTAATTAAATATGCATGTGATGGATTCATAAAGCTCCAGAATGTCGCTTAGCATTAGCTCAGGCGCCATTTTAAAGTGCAATGAAAGGGATTTCAATGTACTTTGCATTCTTCTTTCCTTTTGCATTTCCTCAGCAATTAACGTCAGACAAAAAATAGACCATTGCGAACTCCCGATAACCTTATTTACATGTTGCCGATGCTAATTGTCTCTGCTAACATGCAGTTTTATCCTGGCTAGAAATGTTCCATTTATCGTCACAAGAAGTGAATAACTCTGAACTAAAATTTAAATAAAATCTCTCACTTAAGCATATTAAAGAAGTAGGAATTATGCACCAGATTGAGTTGGGGCAGAGTTTCAACCATGAGCACTTCCCTATTGGGCTTCATTGAGCTACAGTATAGCAGGTTAGTATTGTCCATCTATATACAGTGCCTTTGCGAAAGTATTTGGCCCCATTGAAGCTTTCTACATTTCGCCACATTTCAGGCTTCAAACATAAAGATATAAAAATTAATTTTTTTGTCAAGAATCACAAGTATAAATAACAAGTGGGACACAATCGTGAAGTGGAACGAAATGTATTGGATAATTTAAACTTTTTTAACAAATAAAAAACTGAAAAGTGGGGCGTGCAATATTATTCGGCCCCCTTGCGCTAATACTTTGTAGCGCCACCTTTTGCTGCAATTACAGCTGCAAGTCGCTTGGGGTATGTCTCTATCAGTTTTGCACATCGAGAGACTGGAATTCTTGCCCATTCTTCCTTGCAAAACAGCTCGAGCTCAGTGAGGTTGGATGGAGAACGTTTGTGAACAGCAGTCTTCAGCTCTTTCCACAGATTCTCGATTGGATTCAGGTCTGGACTTTGACTTGGCCATTCTAACACCTGGATACGTCTATTTGTGAACCATTCCATTGTAGATTTGGCTTTAGGTTTTGGATCATTGTCCTGTTGGAAGATAAATCTCCGTCCCAGTTTATTTATTTGTTTATTTATTTGGATCCCCATTAGCTGTCTCCAAATGGACAGCTACTCTTCCTGGGGTCCGGTTCAAGCAATTACAATATTCACATCATGCAGTTAAATTGAAAAAAAAAACACTTCACATACAAAACCTCTCCTCAGTTATACGCACACATACTGTACATATAAAGAATTTAAATATACTGTATATGAAGTTATAGACATACACACACAAACAGACTTAAGCTTCCATCAGAAAATGTCTTTTCAATAGTCTTTTAAAAGAGAGCTTTGTTTCAGCCTGTTTAACAGCCGGTGGCAGTTTGTTCCATAAAGTCACAGCTCTAAATACCAGTCTCAGGTCTTTTGCAGACTCCAACAGGTTTTCTTCCAGAATGGTCCTGTATTTGGCTCCATCCATCTTCCCATCAATTTTAGCCATCTTCCCTGTCCCTGCTGAAGAAAAGCAGGCCCAAAGCATGATGCTGCCACCCCCATGTTTGACAGTGGGGATGGTGTGTTCAGGGTGATGAGCTGTGTTGCTTTTACGCCAAACATATCGTTTTGCATTGTGGCCAAAAAGTTCAATTTTGGTTTCATCTGACCAGTGCACCTTCTTCCACATGTTTGGTGTGTCTCCCAGGTGGCTTGTGGCAAACTTTAAACGAGACTTTTTATGGATATCTTTGGCTTTCTTCTTGCCACTCTTCCATAAAGGCCAGATTTGTGCAGTGCACGACTGATTGTTGTCCTATGGACAGACTCTCCCACCTCAGCTGTAGTTATCTGCAGTTCATCCAGAGTGATCATGGGCCTCTTGGCTACATCTCTGATCAGTCTTCTCCTTGTTTGAGATGAAAGTTTGGAGGGACGGCCGGGTCTTGGTAGATTTGCAGTGGTCTGATGCTCCTTCCATTTCAATATAATTGCTTGCACAGTGCTCCTTGAGATGTTTAAAGCTTGGGAAATCTTTTTGTATCCAAATCCGGCTTTAAACTTCTCCACAACAGTATCTCGGACCTGCCTGGTGTGTTCCTTTGTCTTCATGGTTCTCTCTGCGCTTTAAACAGAACCCTGAGACTATCAAAGAGCAGGTGCATTTATACGAAGACTTGATTACACACAGGTGCATTCTATTTATCATCATCAGTCATTTAGGACAACATTGGATCATTCAAAGATCCTCACTGAACTTCTGGAGTGAGTTTGCTGCACTGAAAGTAAAGGGGCCGAATAATATTGCACACCCCACTTTTCAGTTTTTTATTTGTTAAAAAAATGTTGAAAAGTTCAAGGGGGCCGAATACTTTCGCAAGGCACTGTATATGAGAGAGACCAGAAGAGCCCAGAGGGCAACCAGAAAGGGAGCAAAGAGATACCAGAGAGAGGGACCAGAGAGAGAGACAAAAGAGACCAGAGAGCAATAAGAGATAGGGAGAGAGCAGAAAACAACTAGAGAGAGAGACCAGAGGAGACCAGAAGGCAACCAGAAAGGGAGAAAAGAGAGACCAGAGAGAGGGACCAGAGAGAGAGAGACCAGAGAAACCAGAAAGAGAGACCAAAGAGACCAGAAGAGATCGGAGAGCAACCAGAGAGACCAGAGAGAGACCAAAAATAGACTAGAGAGAGAGACCAAAAGAGACCTGAGAGCAACCAGGGAGATCAGAGAGAGAGACCAAAGATAGACCAAAGAGACCAGAAGAGACTGGAGAGCAACCAGAGAGACCAGAGAGAGAGACCAAAGAGAGAGACCAGAGAGAGAGACCAAAGAGACCAGAAGAGACTGGAGAGCAACCAGAGAGACCAGAGAGAGAGACCAAAGAGAGAGACCAGAGAGACCCCAAAGAGACAAGAAGAGACCAGAGAGCAACCAGAGAGACCAGAGATAGAGACCAGTTAGAGACCAGAGAGAGAGACCAGAGAGAGAGACCAAAGAGAAAGACCAAAGGGACCAGAAAGAGACACCAAAGAGAGTGAACAGAGAGAGGGACCAGAGAAAGGGACTAGAGAGAGAGAGTCCTTTGAACTAACCACCATTGTACATCTACAGTACATACCGTCTATGAGGTTATCAGATTTAAGATAAAACATTTATTCTCAGTCTGACTGAATCCAAAAGAGAGTGGAGTTTCTTGAGGCTTATTGCATCTGCACCGGCGACGGCTCTGTTAGCATTTTCCATTCAGGCGTCCAAATGACATTGATGTCACTTGTAGGAGGGAAACAAAAAAACAGACAACATGCAAAAGAGGAGAAACCGCTTGTGGAAGACTGCGGCATCGGAAAATGTCACAAACTTCATCAAAAGTTTGGAGGTGAATAAACAAAAGAGCAGATAAAGAGGCGGAGAGCACGGAGCGGCAACAATAGACAAATCCAAATATGAACAATGCGCCGTGGCTTTGTGGGAAAATGTTACGACCAAGGTTTTCTCATCTGTGCCATTTCCAAAGTGCCGGGAGACTGCAAAGTGCCGGGAGACTGCAAAGTGCCGGGGGACTACAGAGGCCAAGTTTATAGGAGAGACCGCAATTTACTTCACAAAGATGATGTTTTTTGGACTGAAATGATGACTCCTCTCTCTGGTCCCCCTCTCTCTCTGGTCCCCCTCTCTCTCTGGTCCCCCTCTCTCTCTGGTCTCCCCTCTCTCTCTGGTCTCCCCTCTCTCTCTGGTCTCCCCTCTCTCTCTGGTCTCCCCTCTCTCTCTGGTCTCCCCTCTCTCTCTGGTCTCCCCTCTCTCTCTGGTCTCCCCTCTCTCTCTGGTCTCCCCTCTCTCTCTGGTCTCCCCTCTCTCTCTGGTCTCCCCTCTCTCTCTGGTCTCCCCCTCTCTCTGGTCTCCCCCTCTCTCTGGTCTCCCCCTCTCTCTGGTCTCCCCCCTCTCTCTGGTCTCCCCCTCTCTCTGGTCTCCCCCTCTCTCTGGTCTCCCTCTCTCTCTGGTCTCCCTCTCTCTCTGGTCTCCCTCTCTCTCTGGTCTCCCTCTCTCTCTGGTCTCCCTCTCTCTCTGGTCTCCCCTCTCTCTCTGGTCTCCCTCTCTCTCTGGTCTCCCTCTCTCTCTGGTCTCCCTCTCTCTCTGGTCTCCCTCTCTCTCTGGTCTCCCTCTCTCTCTGGTCTCCCTCTCTCTCTGGTCTCCCTCTCTCTCTGGTCTCCCTCTCTCTCTGGTCTCCCTCTCTGGTCTCCCTCTCTCTCTGGTCCCTCTCTGTGGGACCATGTGGGGACACGTTCCAATAGAAGTGACATCAACTCTAAGTTTTGAGTGTTATATGGTGTATCGCCCACATTATTATCACACATGGGCTAAGAAAAAGACAGCAAAATACGGCACCTTTAAGAATGAAAGAAAAAAATCTTTCAAACACATTAACATCCACATTTGATGCCTCTCAGAATCCAGTTCTTAACCTTCAGGGAAACTATACGATACTCACTTTTTGAGCCAATCTGCGATGTCTTTAGCCGTAGCTCCGTAGTTTTCATAGTGATGGAGGAACTTCCCTTTCCTGCGAGACAAAGAAATAAACGGTTAATGACAGTAATGAGAGGAAAACCAAATGATCATGAGACAAGATCTAAGGCCGCAATGTGTCACGGACACATTGCTGGAGCTTATAACAGTTTTAATAATCTTCTTGTGTGTTTATTTAAGACAAATAGGATCTCTCTCTGTGCCTCCTCATCGGTCTCTCTGCATACTAGATTTAACAACTAGTCTTAACCAGTCGGTATCTATCTCGGGTCTCTCTATATCTCTGGTCTCTCTATCTCTGGTCTCTCTCTCTCTGGTCTCTCTCTCTCTCTGGTCTCTCTCTCTCTCTGGTCTCTCTCTCTCTCTTTCTCTCTGGTCTGGCCTCTCTCTCTCTCTCTCTGGTCTCTCTCTCTCTCTGGTCTCTCTCTCTCTCTGGTCTCTCTCTCTCTCTGGTCTCTCTCTCTCTCTGGTCTCTCTCTCTCTCTGGTCTCTCTCTCTCTCTGGTCTCTCTCTCTCTCTGGTCTCTCTCTCTCTCTGGTCTCTCTCTCTCTCTGGCTCTCTCTCTCTCTGGTCTCTCTCTCTCTGGTCTCTCTCTCTCTGGTCTCTCTCTCTCTCTCTCTGGTCTCTCTCTCTCTGGTCTCTCTCTCTGGTCTCTCTCTCTGGTCTCTCTCTCTGGTCTCTCTCTCTGGTCTCTCTCTCTGGTCTCTCTCTCTGGTCTCTCTCTCTGGTCTCTCTCTCTGGTCTCTCTCTCTGGTCTCTCTCTCTGGTCTCTCTCTCTCTGGTCTCCCTCTCTGGTCTCCCTCTCTGGTCTCCCTCTCTGGTCTCCCTCTCTCTGGTCTCCCTCTCTGGTCTCCCTCTCTGGTCTCCCTCTCTGGTCTCCCTCTCTGGTCTCCCTCTCTGGTCTCCCTCTCTGGTCTCCCTCTCTGGTCTCCCTCTCTGGTCTCCCTCTCTGGTCTCCCTCTCTGGTCTCCCTCTCTGGTCTCCCTCTCTGGTCTCCCTCTCTGGTCTCCCTCTCTGGTCTCCCTCTCTGGTCTCCCTCTCTGGTCTCCCTCTCTGGTCTCCCTCTCTGGTCTCCCTCTCTGGTCTCCCTCTCTGGTCTCCCTCTCTGGTCTCTCTCTCTGGTCTCTCTCTCTGGTCTCTCTCTCTGGTCTCTCTCTCTGGTCTCTCTCTCTGGTCTCTCTCTCTGGTCTCTCTCTCTGGTCTCTCTCTCTGGTCTCTCTCTCTGGTCTCTCTCTCTGGTCTCTCTCTCTGGTCTCTCTGGAGAAATGTGTTGACAGAGACCGAGCACAACCGCTCGGCCTCTCCCAGAACAGATCTGCACATAGTCTGGCTGTAACGCAGTATTTCAAGGAGATGAGACACACCTCCACTGGTACCAACAGTCACAGTTTCACAATGAGACCTTTGGTATTTAGCATCAATCAAAGGAACAGTAGCATTCTGACCAGGACTAGCCCAGTACCATCTGCATACAACCCCCTTTTGCCCAGAAGACAGGCTGGAACCAACAGTGAATTTCAATAACTTTCTCTGATAAAATTAATAACGTCAAAACGCTTCACAATACTATAGTAATGCAGTTGTGGTTCAAATTTCTGAGCTGAGTTTACGTGTTCTCCCCATGGTCTCTGCAGGTTTCCTCCAGCTGCTCCGGTTTCCCCTACCACTAAAAACATGTACAGTGGCTCTCCTCTCTCTGGGGCCAGGACTTTGAAATCTCACTGGGTCGTGCCTGGTTTAAAAACGCATCAATAAAAAGTGAAAACTGGAGTGAAAAAGATCAGAAAAGCACAGAATCGAACTTGGGATCCATTACCTACAAAATTATTACTATTCTCAACGCAGATGTTTTGCTTTGGGCTCAATCCAGTCAATATCATGAATTTCTGCAGCGGTCGATAACACTGAACGGGTGGAAAATCTCGGCGTCTTCTGATGAAAAACAAAATGTTTGAAAGTCCTGTTTGACCTCCGCTCCATCCGCTGCCGTCGTTATAAATGTCTAGCTTGCATATCCATAAAACGCCAGTGTGAGGCTCCGTAATGCATTTGAAATAAGCGCGTCTGCTCCGGCTCCCGTTAAAAAGATTCACAACTTAAGCAGATTTTTTTCCCCCCTCGTAAGAAAGCGGTTTATCTACGGCTCCCTTCTGCCGGTCGCGTTCAAAAAGGACGCCAGGACAAGGTGGCGTGGAACCAGCCTCCAAATTCAACCGTATGCCACATACATTTACTTTAGGCGAGAAGATGGTCAGTACGGGACTGTGTGGTTGCTATGGTTACTGCTATGATTTTGAGCTGTAGAAAAGAAAAACGACAGTAGCTCAGTTGGTAGAGCATTGGCCTTCAGGCCTGGTCGTGGGTTCAATTCCCACCTCTACACCTTCTCCACCGACTCCCACTGATGACTGCTGTTGTTGTGTCCTAGGGCAAGACACTTAACTAGGGATGTAAAAAACTATGAATTTTCATGACCGACCACCGAGCCTCATTAACCGGTTGAAACCGGTTAACCGCGTAGTTTAAAATAGTCCACGTTCTTTGAAATAACAACCATTTCGAGCCGCGTACTTTTCATAAGTGCAGCTCTGCGTTCTACTGGATCAGAGCCGAGACAGCGGCGCCCAAACCCGCAACAGCTCCGGCACCTTTGCGCACAGAGAACTGCTGTTTTAATCTTCCCATTCTGCTGAGCTGCGGGTTAATACCAAAACTTTCTAGCAGCAAACGACGGCTCGTTCACATGGTCAGAGCAGCGAGTGACGAGCCGCGTCTCACAGGTCTTCACAAAAGTTTAAATACTAGTGATGTGTGCGGAGCTGATCCCGAGGACCATAAACACAAACATGTTCCATGTGGTTTGACTGGAGCTGCGTATTTGCGCGAATCCTTTGGGCTCCGTGACACAGAGGAGCGCGACAGACCGGTATGTGTGTGTGTAAGTGTGTGTGTATGTATGTGTGTGTGTGTGTATGTATGTGTGTGTGTGTAAATGTAAGCTCCAATGTAGTTCTGACCCGCGCCAGTGTGCAACTTTGACGGTAACAGAGGGGAGAGATGATGCGTGTGGATGTTACGTATGGAGAGGGGGAAAGTGTGTGTGTGCGCGTGCATATGTGGCTCGTGCGGCGTGAGAGTCGTCCCGGAGTTTATAATACATGGGCGCACACAGCTAGATACAGACCCGCTCGTCACACTGTGCAAATAGGGCTTAAAATAGCGTTATTAAGAGACCTCCCCTCCCCCCGTTTTCTCTTTTTTAACCGACAGCTTTGACCAGTTAACGCTGTGACGGTCAACCACCGGTTAAACGGTCGCCGATTTACATCCCTACACTTAACCCCACTTTGCCCAAAGCCCCCACTGAAAGATCAAGGCTCTGCTCACAGTCAGAGAGCAGCCGTCCTCCTGTGGACTCACCACCTGCAGAGGGTCAGTGAGGGGCTGGTGCTATGAGACTTGGGTGGCATCTCTGACTGCCACCCCCCTGACCCAGAAATGGATTAAAGGGTAGAAAATGGATGGATGGATGGAAAAGCAAAACATTTGTTGCATGGAGTTGAAAATATGTGCTTTATTCTTATCCCTTATAAATGATAATCTATCGCTTCATTTCATTAGAATGTGAAACAATATCTTAAAGGAACTATAACAGATTTAGTTTCTAATGGATTCATATTTGTTGTATTAAAATCCGTAAATAAATTGAAAACTTGAGCTCATAGATTCAGCTTGTGCATGAATTCAGGCCGTAAAAAGTGCTGAGTAGAAACGTGACGCTAGCTCTCCTCCAATCACAGAACGAGGAGCGGCGCTGTTACAAACAGGCCACGCCTCCTCTAGGCCACGCCTCCTCTAGCATCTACAGGTAAACACAGCAGCATGTTAGCATAAGTGGCTATACCTCCTCTATCCGTAACTGCAGATACAGCAAAACGGCCCAAAAGACTGAAAAGTGAAGAGGAGAAGAGGGAGCTAAAACGAAAAAATCATCAAAGAAGTAACCAAGCCCAGGTGAATATACGTAGCGTTAGCTTACATAGTTTCCTCTGGAAAGACCTGCGAGTCCGGACCGCCTCGGACTAACTTTGGACGTGAAACTAGCGCTAATCTTTCAGTTATTTTGTTAGCAGTGCATTTCATCAGTGATTGTTGTACAGCTTACAAGAAGTTGCGTTAATGCTAATGTAACGCAAATTAAACTAGATGGCTCCGTGGGATGAGAGCGTAGAGGAAATGAGAAGCCTGTGAGCGAGTTGGGGGCGGAGCTAAACCTTCAAACTGCAAAAAACCTGCAAAAACAGGTATAGCTCCTTTAAGTAGAAAAAAAACTCCCAATGCTACCACTAGCTACCAAACCTGCCATTTCTATTGTAAAGGACACTATTTCTTATTATTTATGTACATGTATTTATTTGACAGGGATTGAGTTAGTAGTCACAAGTTACAACCAGAGACAGGCAACTGAAGAGATACATACAGAGACACTTTTACGCTCTGAGCCAGTTGTGTGGTCTTCTAGTTTGTTGATTTTATGGTTTTAAGTTTATTTATAAATATATGTATTTAGTATTTATTTATATTATTTTAATATTTATTGAATTTATATTGAATTTATTTCATGTATTTGTGCGGTCACTTCTCAGCTCCATTATCGTATATATATCTTTTGTTTACAACACTTTACTCTTATGTTTCTAGATCCTTCTCCAGACTGAGATGGTTCTGTACTGTCACTTCAGTGTTTCCGCCTCTTCTCTGTGGACAGCGGCCTGAGAGCGGCGTCTGCTGCAGCGACAGATACGTTCAGCCTGAAGCCATTACTGCTGTTTATCAGGAAAGCCTCATTACTGCGGCCAATGGACTAGAGCCGGTCGTTAGCTATAGCACTGACGCTAATGTGCTTCAAGCTAACGCACTAACCACACACAGAGAGAGGGGGAGAGAGAGAGACAGAGAAAGACAGAGAGAGAGAGAGAGAGAGAGAGAGAGACAGAGAGAGAGAGACAGAGAGACAGAGAGACAGAGGCAGAG